TCTGGAATCTCAAGGAATCTCTGTTTGGCAGCATCAAACTCCCTCCGTATCTTGTCAATGTCATCATTAACCTCCGAAGTGTCTGCTTCAGCACGCTTTATTTGTTCCTCAAACTTGGATACTGTTTGCTTGTAGCCACGGACATTTGCGCCCAATCCTATTTTTTTGTAAGAACAGTAATATAAATCTCAAATAATCAACAACTCACTACCAAGTACCAAGAGAATCGGAATGTTTCCATTTGAAAGATTTACAAAAACAAAACAGAAATATAAGACTTGAAAGTCTAAATTTACAGATTCTTTTTAAAGAAAAAAGAATCAAACCGTGAACACAAACTAAAAATGAGGGGGAGGGGGAACCTATATAAACTCCAGAAGAAGAAAATATCGTTCTCTGCAACAAAGATACATGGAAAGTGAGATCATTATTGCTATTAATTTTATAAATATGAAAACAGAGAGAGAGAGAGGGGGGGGCGAGAATACGTTGAGAGAAGAACAAAGAGGAAGAAGCCTGCGAAAAGAAGCCATGAAAGTAAAGGAAAGGAATTCAACTGAGCTTACGACAAGATTGGAAAAGAGCAGATTTATTATGTTTAATTTCAGTCGTATAAAGAAAAATACGGGAAAATTGAATACGGTGAAGGAGCATTCCAATTTCCGGGTTCCAACTCCAAAGCCGCCTTTTCTGGTTTGCTCTTCTTTGGTTTAATAAAGGGTAAACTATACTGATGGTCCCTTTCTTTTTCTGTATAATCCATTTTGATCATTTGTTAAAGAAAAAAGTGGTTTTAGTCCTTTACATTATCAGTTCGTTCGATTTTAATTTCTTAATCGTTAATTTTCGTTAAGGGGCCCTTAAGTTCTATCCGACAATTAAAAATTAAAAAAAATCACCTATCTTCTTCTTCTTCTTTTGAATTTAGATTTGCAACTCGCACTCTTGATTATTAATTGCCAACACTATCCACTTCTCCATCCTCTTTGTCAAAGCTCCCTCCTAATTAAATTTAACATCTAACGTTATTCATCACTCCACCCTAAATTTATCCATTATTGTCGTTGTTGTTGTATTGACCTTCCTACAAACACGATACGTTCACCCCCTTTCATTTCCTTAATTTCTTTTACTTCAACACCCCCTTGCACATCCCCTTGTCTTAGCCCTAAAAATTTATTTCCTTCATTTCTAATCTGGATCCCTACCGAAACCACAGCAAAAGCTTTGTATCTGTGCTTTTCCCTCTCTGCTTTGCTACTAAGTCCCAAACGGGTGGACGTATCAAGAAATAATTATCTTCTGCAACTGGGAATAAGAAGAGGAGGAAGGAGAAAAGCGGGAATGATGATGATAGTTTGAAGGAATTGAGTTTGAGGTATATATATTGTTGGAAACTGATCATGTTCCTATCTCATGACAAAAAGAGGAAATGTACAAGAGTCACATGAGAACGAACAATCAGACTAGCGGTTCCTCATTTTAATCGTCTTATGGGTGCATCTTCTTGGCGTACTTTACCTTCAGAAAATGTATGTAATCAAGCTCCATTGTTTAAGCATTGAAGAGCTTCATTCTGTGCTTCTGTTTGCTTTCCCAATCCATTCCATTTTCCTTCCTATTTATTTCAGGTGATATTTACCTTAAACTCCTCGTCAAGGTTTTATATTTATTCTCATTATCGGCATAAAAATGTCATTTTTTATTGTAGTTTTTGAATAACTATGCTGATTTTTGCTATGTTTTAGCTGTACCATTTCCTTGTAAGAGGAACAAGAAGCAAATTCAAACATTCAATGCCGTGATATTGAAACGCTTGTTTATGAACAAAGTCAACAATTCTCCACTCTTTCTCTAGGCTAGTTCAGTTCATGAAGGAAAATATATATTATTAAATATTTCTGAATTTTAAAAGATCTTTGCATGGATATTGATTTATGGTTTTAATTTATCTTTTTTGTGTATATATAATTATATATGGCTTGTAGGAGGATAGGATTGTCGTGGTAGTGGGGACAGTAACAAATGATATTAGGGTTTATGAGGTTCCTACTTTGAAGGTTATTGCTCGAGGTTTACTGAGACAGCTAGAGCTAGGATTGAGAAGGCTGTTTGACTATAGCCAAGGAGAAGAAGACACGTGGATTAATTTTTTATTTTTTCATTGTCCACTCAGATTTTCGTTAATTGGTTAACGACAATCTATTGTCAAGGTACCATAACCGAACATATTAATAACGTAAGGGACTAGAACAACGAACATTTTAAATCAATGACTATAATCAATCAGATCGAAAACATAAGGGACCATTCGTATAGTTGACCCTTTCATAAACAGTTAAATATTTTCGTCCATTACTAATTCTGAGTCAAAAAATACAAAATTTGATTAAAATATTTCCAACTGCTTTTACATTCGCTGAAAAATAGTGCTTAAATTTAAGAATGCGTTGATTTTCAGTTTATATTTATTTTGATTTAAGTTTAAATATATAATTGATGATTAATTTATTTATACTTTATAATAATTAAATTTAATTATGATTATAATAAGAGAAAATAACCTCAGTGACAAAAAATCTTAGATAATATACGATTTTGACCAACTTTTTTTGGATTTGCGAAAATGACCAACAAAATCGCAATGCGATCTCTAATTCGCATTGCGATCTCCACTATCGCAAATTCACGTTGCATTTTGCATTGCGATGGTTGAAAATCGCGTTGCGTTTTTCCATTTCGCGTTGCGATAGATGGAGATCGCGTTGCGATTTTCCATTTCGCATTGCGATAGATGGAGATCGCGTTGCGATTTTCCATTTCGCGTTGCGATAGTTGAAATCGCAACGCGATCTCCATCATCGCAAATTCGTGTTGCATTTCGAGTTGCGATAGTTGAAAATCGCGTTGTGATTTTCCATTTCGCGTTGCGATAGTTGAAAATCGCGTTGCGATTTTCCATTTCGCGTTGCGATAGTCTACAGTTGTCGTTGCGATTTTCCAAATTCGTTGTGATAGTAAAAAAAAAAGATTTTGTTTCTTAAGAATTTTCTCTAAAAAGATAGTATCCGCGCGGACGTGTCGAAGACACGTACGACCACGACCACGACCACGACCACGACCACGACCACGACCACGACCACGACCACGACCACGACCACGACCACGACCACGACCACGACCACGACCACGACCCGAGACGAGACGGACGACGGCGGCGGTGCGCGAGAGTCACCCTTGTTCTCTATCACTCAACAAGGAAGTGAGAAAGCCAAGCCTTAAATATCATTCCCAATAGTGTTTCCAATACAATGTGGGATTGAGCATTACCAACACTTGTTTCCAATACAATGTGATTATTCAGGAAACAATTAACAATCATGCACCTTAAAACAACTGAATCAACAACCAATTACATTAGTATTATACGATTAAATATGTCATAATTAAAAGTCAATCTACAATCAATCGCGATTATTGCAATTTTAAGCAAAACATTCAAAAATAATATCACTATTTAAGGCTCAATCCCACATAGTATTGGGAACAAGTGTTGGTAATGCTCAAATCCCACATAGTATTGGAAACACTATTGGGAATGGTATTTAAGGATTGGCTTTCCCACTTCCTTGTTGAGTGATAGAGAACAAAGGGGACTCTCGCGCGCCGCCGCCGCCGTCCGTCTCGTCTCGTCTCGTCTCGGGTCGTGGTCGTGGTCGTGGTCGTGGTCGTACGTGTCTTCGACACGTCCGCGCGGATACTATTTTTTTAGAGAAAATTCTTAAGAAACAAAATCTTTTTTTTTAACTATCACAACGAATTTGGAAAATCGCAACGCGACTGTAGACTATCGCAACGCGAAATGAAAAATCGCAACGCGATTTTCAACTATCGCAACACGAAATGAAAAATCGCAACGCGATTTTCAACTATCGCGACGCGAAATGGAAAATCGCAACGCAACTGTAGACTATCGCAACGCGAAATGGAAAATCGCAACGCGATTTTCAACTATCGCAATGCGAATTAGAGATCGCAATGCGATTTTGTTGGTCATTTTCACAAATCCAAAAAAAAATGGTCAAAATCGTATATTATCTGAGATTTTTGGTCACTGAGGTTATTTTCTCTTATAATAATATGAATATATTACAAATCCCAACTGTAATTTTTAATGTGATTTACCTTATATTACAAATCTGTATACTTGGATGATTATTTTACTATGCAAAAGGAGAGAATGAAAGAAAAAAAACTCCATTTGCCTGTCACTTGAAAAGAAAATTGATGTACGATATTCTTTCAGACAGAATGTGGGAGACATTAATCACCGCAAGGAGAGTGAAGTTTCTGTCCATGAATTAGGCCTAAAAGGCGTTTTAAAGCGGCGGAAAAATAATATTAAATACATATTCTTAAATAAAAAAATTATTAATTTAAGAATTGAATTTATATTTAATAAGATATATATAAATTATTTGGGTAAACTATGTCCCCATTGTTTTCGGTCTGACCGATTTTGGCCACTAATTTTAAAATTAAGGATATGTGGTTCTTAACATTATCGATCAGTTCGATTTTAGTCCATAACGTTATCGATCTGTTTGATTTTAGTCCCTCAGCCGTTAACTCTCATTCGATTTTAGTCTCTTAGTTATGTCACATATTTGTTAAGGGTTAACGTCAAAGGGACTTAAACCAGACGAATTGGTGACCAAATTCGGACATACTCTAAACAAAAAGGACTATTCGCATAATTTATCCTTATTATTTAACTATAATTGTTATTAAAGAAATTTTAATAAAAAAGTAGCTAAAAATTTAATACAACTAATAGTATATAATTTTATATATCATAAATGAATCAAATAACAATATATCATTAATTATAAATTTAAATAATATTTAAAATAATTATGATGAGTTATCGTCATCTATTTTGTTATTATATATCAAGAAGTGAGAGATATATTTTTCACACTTCAAGGACCTTGCAAATATATTATTATTTTTAACAGAGTAGAGTCAAAACATAATGTTTTGAATTACTGTCTCACACTTGGGACCAGAGTGCAGAGCATCTGATGTTCTTAAGCACTATTCAACTCCTATTGTGCTGCTCTTTGTAACTTTCCCATTTGACAGACAGATGATTCAAAACACCCAAATAAAAGCATAAAACAGTAAAATTGAACCATATAAAACTTGTTGTGATGTTTATCTTGGACCAGAGAGTTCCATGGCACAGTAGTCCAAAGAATATTCATCATCTTCATCCTCACCCATGCTTGTGCCTAACATGTTGCTCGATTGATCATGATTTTTTCCATCATGTTTCGATCCCATGGTAGGGTTTGGCATGCTTTTGCTACTGAAGTTCATGGTGGGATTACTATGATTATGCGATGCTGCCCATTTCTCAGCAAGTCCATCTCCTTCCAGCATCCGGACAACTTCGGACATTTTAGGCCGGTGGACCGGAAGGTATTGAGTGCATAGTAAAGCCACTTGGAGCATCTCTCCTACTTCAATCCTGTCATACTTGCTCCCTAGCTCTCTGTCCACTAATGCTTCCACTTTCTTTTCTTGCTGGATTTTCTTCACCTGTCACAACAAATTGCAAATGTTTTTCCATCACTTTTCTCATGTAACAAGGATTTGTGATGGAAAGCAATAGCTTAGTTTGTTATATAGCTGGTGAGGAAACTAACCCACTCAAGCATTGCTCCATTCTCACTAACTGTTTTTCCAATCTTCAGAGCTCTCATTCCAGTAATAAGCTCTATCAAGAGAATGCCGAATCCAAACACGTCAGTTTTCTCCGAAGACTGGCCGGTTGAGAGGTACTCTGGTGCAATATGCCCAACAGTGCCACGGACAACAGTGGTCACATGGGAATCAGCATGATCAAGGAGCTTTGCAAGGCCAAAATCACCAACAATGGCTTCACAGTAATCATCCAGAAGGATATTAGCAGCCTTCACGTCCCTGTGAATTATCTTTGGGTCACATTGCTCGTGTAGATACAGAAGCGCCCCCGCTGCTCCAATCGCAATCCTCTTCCTCGTATTCCAGTCTAGTGCTGGTTTTCCTGCCAAACCCCATTTCATTTACATAAACAGATATGCTAAATTACACTAAAAAAACCGCCTGCATATTCATTAACAATACTTTTTCTTTGAAAAATAGTTCAGGTCTTTGTGCAAACCTCTAAGCCTGGATGCAACACTGCCGTTAGACATGAAAGGGTAGACAAGAAGTCTCTCATCATAGGTAGCACAATACCCAATTAAACGAAGCAAATTACGGTGAACCGCCAAGCTGATCATCTCCAACTCAGTCCTGAACTGCGACTCGCCAAAACTTCCTGTAAAGTCTTTCAGCCGCTTCACCGCCACAAGAGTACCGTCTCCTAACTTCCCCTTATAGACGTTTCCGAAACCTCCGTAGCCCAGTAAGTTATTGGAGCTGAAGTTGTTTGTAGCAAGCTGTAGTTCCCTGAAAGTGAAGATTCTGAGATTACCTAGTTTTGCGAGGCCCTCTTCTTGTTTGTCTGCAACAAAAGTGTGACAACATTAAATCACATTGAATAAATGCATAAAAGACAAACTTTTTAACATCATTATGTAGTTGTAACTGACCATTAATATTTAGAACTGTAAGCTTTCTGCGTTTCTTTCTGTGCCAAAGTAGTGCAAATGCTAGGAGAATGAGCGAGGCAAAGCCGAGGCTGATTCCTAGTGCAATTGCTAACTTCTTGTATTTTTGTTCCCCTAATACATACGACAAAAAAGCAATATATATATATATATATGTACCATTAATCAAGAGTGTAAAAATAGTAGTGGAGAGTTACAAGGAGATTTGAAAAGAGTTACCATTTGAGGAGCCAAGGAATGAAATAGGAACAACATTGGCTGATCCAGAGCAAACTTCACTGGAGCTGCTTCCGCAAATCAATGGATTTCCCATAATACTACCACAGGTTTGTAAAAATGGAAAGTTCAGAAGTAAATAATTATAGTAACTGATAAGAAATAGTTGTAGCAAAGAAATTATACTTGAAAGTTTGTTAAGGAACAATGGTACAGGTCCTGTGAGATTGTTAAAAGACAGGTCCCTGAAACACCAAGAATCAGGCTTTAAAATAGAGACACAGTACAGGGATAAGAAAGAGATGGGAAAAAGGAAAGAAATCCACACTCACAAGAAATCAAGTTGAGGGATTTTTGCCAAAGATGAAGGAAATGGTCCAGACAAACTATTGTTGTTCAGCCTCCTACTCTCATTACAAGACCAACACAGTATCTCAGATTTCATAAACAGTGTTACAAGACAAAGATATCACAAACAGAATTTGCAAAAAAAAATGAAACCACGTAATTTATATGTACATTTGTTACTATAATATAACACACCCTCCCCTAAAGCAACCACCTTCTTTCTTTTTTTCATCTTTACTTTTCTCAGCATCCAAACATGAAACAAAGAACTAATCCGTGAAACACTTACAGGTATTGCAAACTATTTGACTGTCCAAATGACCCTGGAATTGGACCGGAAAATAGATTGTTAGAAAGATCCAAAATCTCCAGTTTTAGAAGAGTCTCCAGCTCGGGTGGGATTTCACCAGATAAGTTATTGTTTTGCAACAACCTTGAAGTTCAACCAGCAATTTCAAACATAAAACAAAACATCAAGATCAAATATGCAAATAAGGCTTTTTTAAATGAAACCATAACACAAGGAATACAATAATTCGGTCTTCTTCTTACACTTGGCGAAGATTGGTGAGATTTCCTATTGCCCCAGACAAAGTTCCTGATAAAGACTGGCTTGGAGCTCCCCTGAACGAAACAAACAACATTATTATAGAGTAAATTTACAATGTTTTCAAAACAAGTATACATTTAAAAACAGTAAACACACACACACACACAAAGAGAGGAACTGACAGGGTCGTAACAAGGTTTTCAGAAGAGCAAGTGACCATAGCCCAGCTACAAGGATCAACAGAGTATTCATCCCAGTTGTTCAACGCCCCATGCGGATCATTCAATTCTCTCATTATACTTATCAATGCTACCACTGTATTCCACCATGAAACAAATCGTTCAAAAAACAAAAAACTTCAACACCAGCCAATGAATTTCAGAAGTTTGTAGTGTTTTTTCTTTACCTTCAGGGTTACGAGGCTCATAAGACAAACAGACTGTAGCAGAAGATAGAACGAAGAAGAATAAGAAGAAAATAGAAAAATGACTCATTTTTATGACTTAATGATAGTAATGGTAGTAAAAGAAGAACATTTTCTCTGGTTTTGGACTAAAGGATTTTAAGCTTCAAGCCAAACCCAGAAAGAGAAAAATGAAAACTCAGTCTTAAACGGAGCCCCTCACTCTTTTTCCACAAACACATCTTTTGAAAGAAACAACACTTTAATCATGTACCACCAAAGACCAAAGTCTCACTCTCTCTCTCTCTATAATATGAAGGGAAAAATCCAAAAACTAAAAAACTCTATTTTTGTATGTAGCAGAAACCAAGACTTCAAGAGAGACGTCATTTAAATATTGTACCCATTGCTTTTCCTTTTAGCTTGGTTTTTTGACGCCGTCTATGTTTTGCTTTAGCAACAGCCTACTAGTAATAATCTGACCACATATCATCATTATGTGCATGCTTTTCATCTTCAAAAGAAATTATATTCTCCCAACCCTGAAACTATGTTTCATCCATGTTTATCTCAACTCTATATTAGTAATCATTAGCACTCTCCTGGGAAGTCAAATCTTAATCAATTGATTCTTTAAAATATACAAACGTTTTAATTGAATTTATATTTTTGATATTCCTAACATTTATAAACAGAAATTAAGTAGATTATTATACGTTTGTTTAGGTATAGAAGCAAAAAGAATAAAGGGAGAAAGAAAAGTGGTGAATGATGGGTGCATGTGGAAGAATAAAACGAAAGGGGGGATTGGGAGTATGATTCTTTAGGGAATTGAGCTCTACTTGTTTAATAATTGGTCTCAAGTGGACTTGTCCATCTCATGACATGAGATGAGAATGTTGTGTGTGTGGGCGCATATTCTTCATTAGTATATACTATCACATTATCTAAAGTATATAGTACTTAAATTATTAATTTTTTTATTTTAGTATTTTAAACTTTCATTTTTTTAAAATTATATTGAATGTTTGCCTCGTTGTTAAAAATTTAAGTGGTATTTTTATGGGTAAATTACATCATTCATCACTCAATTATCTTCTCACTCATATTTTGGTCACTGAAGTTTAATTTTTTTAATTTAATTACTTAACTTTCAACTTACTCCTATTTTAGTCACTCTAACTTTCAAATATAATTTTTTTATTTTAATTATATATTAATAAAATAATAATGAAAGATGTCATGTCACACAACTTATTAATAAATTAAATTAGAGTGATTAAAACATGAACAATTTGAAAGTTGAGTAGTCAAACTGAAAATTTTTAAACTTTAGTGACGAAAATATGAGTGGGAAAATAGTTGAGTGATAAATGATGTAATTTACCCATTAAAAGTCACGAACAACCGTTCGGTTAAGTTTTTAACGATAGAATATCAAAATAAAATTTAAACTAAACATTGGGTATGGTTTTGAAAAAAATAATTTTTTAACTATTAAAATAGAACAAAAGCAATAGTCTAAGTACTAAACATGTAGTTTACCCTATTATTTAATTATCATAAAACTCACTGCCTTATGGGACCAGACAAATAATACTCATTGGTTTTTGTCAACGCTTCTGCAATTGGAAGAATTTGGGCAGCTTCGTGGGATCTAATTATTCTTTTTATAATTTAATCCCTTATCATTTATGTCTCTTATAATTTAGTCTCTCAGTCTATTGCACCGTTTAGTCTCCCTAGTAAGTGTTTTCAATTGAAAATTTTGATGAAACTGGGTTGTCGCATAATTTCTTTTACAATCTGGTTCACTAAAATTTACGTCTCTTACAGTTGAGTAGAGAACAGTACATCAACTCTTTAGTATATATTCTATGAGCTATTTGCCTCTTTTAATTGTCTTCTAATATTTTGAATTTCTTTTCTTGTCATATACAAATTATGACTAAACAAATCCAAACCATATGACTAAAGTGCATGAATGTTAAATTCATATGACTAAAAGAAAATATGAAATCTATTTTTATGACTGAGAAATACTGTTTAGAACTAAAAGGGACAATTTATAAGAATTGTATTAAAATTAATCAATGTATTTGTCCAATCCATAGCTAAGGGACACCCCACAAAATGAAAACAAATCCAAGCAAGGGAGCAAAATGAATGTATGGCAAAGGAGTGATATTGATTAGCCTGAATGGAAATAGTTTCGAATTTCTACGTTTGAAGGTGGAGTTCATCATCATGCATGGGGAGGTCGAGATGTGGGAGTTTGGGCTTAGGCCCACACCAATGGCTCTAACAACATGATGTTGACACTTTCATTGAGTGGAGTGGGTATATCATTGAAGTCGAGTGTTATTGGCCATTGGCATGCGCTGCTATAGTGTTTTCATTATATGTCAATTTTATTAGGGTAAACTACATTATTAGTCACTAAATTGTAAGATTTTCTTGTTTCAACACATAACTATAAATTATTTCAAATTTCAATAAATTTTTTGAATTGGTTTTTTGTCACTAAACTATTAAATCATTAACAATTGAATAACGTGACATTTTGGTATCGATGAGGAAGCTAAAATATATTTTTGTATTCATTTGTCCCGACATATTATTTTTTCCACCTCGTCATCTTTTTCATCAAAATTTAGAGATTTATTTCACTCAAATTCATTTGTCACAATAAACTCTCATGATTCGATGTCTTTCATGACTACTCTAAACAAATATATATATATATATATATAATTTTTTATAATTTGGAGGTTCTTTGATTTGATGGCTTTTTGATATTTACTTTTAAATTATAAACAGTGAGAAATATTCTTTTGAGAGAAAAAAAACAAATAAAATACATTGAAACTAGCCTTATTGAAGACTGGTAGATGAGATCAAAGCATCAAAAGATTAAATATTTAGAGTCAAATGCTAATGTTCTTGAATTGTTCCAGTCACAAACGACGATCAATGGGGGGGGGTGACGATTGATTGATAGTAGTGTTTTGATTTAAGCTATATATATTCAAGATTTAAGCTATATGTTTCAGATTGAGTTTATTGTAGTTATGAATATACTGTAATTGTATTCATATAATTTTAAATTAATTTGTTTAGGGATATTTCGAGGTATACTCTCTTAGAAGAGATCGACCAAGCAAAGTAGCAAATGACCTTGAAACTTCATGTTTATTGGCTCTTTCTAATATATTCATTATCCAACCTTTTTGCTTTTATTTCTTCAAGCTTTTGCTTGTGAAGGACAACTTTTTTATTATTTTTATTAGAAAATAATAATTCCAACCGAAAATCTCAAACAGAAAACCCAACAACTTTTTATACCGATAATTAATTCATGTGTGTAAAAGTGGTAGTGGGGGCTGAGTCTTTGCCCAGGAGGATGGCATGAAGGATAATGGCATGGAGTTTGGACAAATAAAAAAAAAATATAAAATAATTTGCATAATCTTATTATTAAAGACGTCAAAATATACATTAGGTCCCTATATCATTAGTATATTTGGAATTTACTCCTTTTTAAAATTAAAAGAATATCAAATCCTTATCAACACCTAGATTGGGAGGGTCACCCTTATAACGGGCCTTTACAAAACCCGATATAGATTAGTCAATCAATAGATTATATATTAGTGACTAATTAAAAAATTTGTTATAATTTTAGTCTCAAGTTTAAATTTATTTCATCATTTTTTATTTCATAACTTTAAGTTAGCATATATTTTTATTTTAATATGCCATATTAACAACATAGCATAAGAATTTAACGGTTTAACTAACTAGACATGAATTTTTAACTATGTAAATAGAGGAAAACACTTGAAAATAAAAATTAAGATGAATAAATTTTGAATCTATAGAAAATATAGGGACTTGAAGCATAGTTGACCTATTAAAAGCATTGATTAGCTAGAATAAAATAGTTGGGATTCTGAAAACCTCACTAGCCCAATTGACCCCTCAATTTGGCGTTTCCATCAACCATGTCTAATAAAATAAGAGAATAGTGATTTATTTTATTCGTATAAATCCAAAATCTTACTAAAATAAATGGAGGGGCGAAGACTACTCAAGGGATATGCTCAACTTTTCCTGATATTATGTTTTGTATGTCACTTTGTGATTTGTTTTAACATTGTTTCGATTCAAATTCAAATTCAAATAATTAATCGGTCATTTAATCGTATCGTTTTTTCTTCCATTTATATTAAAGATTAAATTTGACATCGTCATAACTGATCAAGATTATGTTTATTTATTATTTTGTTGGTCTTCCATGCTTTGGATCATCGAATTCAAGTTGGGAGTTTTTGGATGGATTTTAACTTTTCTTTATACGATCATTCTATAATCTTGAGGGACTAATTGTCTTGTATTCTTGGTCAAAAAATATTCTAATTATATATTTAGTTTCTAAATATCATTATAATTTAAAATATTTTATCTTTTTAATAAAATTAGTTAGTCTATTTACATAATAATTTTAAATAATTAAAATCAATGTGATTTAAATAAATAAAAATTCGAGTTATAATTTTATTAAGATACAAAATTCAGAGTTGCCTAAACCCAGGCCGAGGCCCTAAAAGAAAAACGAGGAGATCTAAGGAGGGGTTGATGAGAGGCATACGACAAAATCATAATATTCAATGTTGGATAATGTACGACTTTCGTTAAATAATTGGATCTCCGTCGATTGTGGGTTACATTTAATATTTCTGATTCTTTTACACTTTGACGATGGGTCTCATGATTTTTAATTGCTGTGTCACACGGGGTTTCATGTTGTCTAATAAGATACAAGTACCAATCACATACAATATACACGTATTTTAATTGTATTTTCAGAGTGTACCTTCCTATTTTAATTGTTATCATTCGATGTCTCAAATTCGAGTATCAAATATTACAAGAATATATGAACTTTCATTGTCAAATAATTAAATATCTTTAAAACACATGTTATCTTGTAAATCAATCTAAATAAATAACAACAACAACAAAACCCTATTCCCATATGCAATGGGATAAGTGGGAGGTAGGGTAGTAAGCTACCCCCAATGTCAGGTTGAGAGCAGCTTCCGTGGAAGACCTCCGGCAGTTAGAAAATTTAAAATAAAGATAAAATGCAATGCATGTATAAATAAATAAATAAATACATAGTTGAACAGTCTTCATATGCGTTTCTGTAATGGGAAGCAATCCATGCAACTAAATCCCTGGGTAAAAATCTCTGAATATAGACAGAAACGTAAGATCCGACTAAATTTAAAAAGAGTAAACCTGAAGAGAATGATACACAGAAGTCAACGATAGCAAGCTACTAGAAGGA